TCCTTTACTTAGGTCCCACAATTCTAATAATTCTTGCTCGCATAAGGCTACATCATCCGTGTACAATTGCAGTGTTGTATATATATATATATAAAAGAATTTATTTATTTTAAAAGTAAATTTTGATAGACTTGTTTCGTTAATAAATTATGATTTATGTCAAATATTAATAGTTTAACTACTAATTTAAAAAATTTTAATATATAAATTAAGTCTGTAAATTTTTAAAAATTTAAAAATTATTTAATAATTTATTTTTAAATTAATGTATAAAATATTTTTATAATTATTCGTCAATTTAAATTAATGAAATAAAGTATCAAATGATTTTCAAAATTTTTAAAAATTTACAAACTTAATCTATGCATTAAAAATTTTAAATTAAACAATTGAATAATTAAAATTTGATGTATAACATGAGTTATTGAGTGAAGTAAATTTAGGTAGATTTATTTTTAGAGTAATTGGATCTATCCCCCTCTCTCTATCTCTCTCTCAACTGTTAAATTATAACTCCATATCACCATGTATATTTTTTTTAATCAAATTTTGTTAAAATTAAACAACAATTTGAAATATTGTTCATATCTTAGTATATTTTGAAATGAATGTATTACATCAATTTTTTCCTATAAAAATGAGGTATCAAATCATCTTGAATTAACATAAAATTTTGTAAAAAAGTAAAAAACTTCCAACCTAACGATAAGTTTTGAAAAATTTACATGAAAGTTATTAAGTGGTGTAATAACTGAAAAAACTTATATTGGTATCGTTTGAACTCTCTTCTCTCTCTCTCTCTCTCTCTCTCTCTCGTTTCTTCCTAGGTTAAGCGTTAGAGCCAGAGCATTCAAAAGTGTAATCTGCCTCCTCAACTCTAGGGTTTTGGGTCTTATAGTTTCTTGTTTATGGGCCTTATGGGCCCCGAGAATGTGAGGATTATATATATAAAGTTAATCTAAATTAACCAGCTCTTGTACTCCAATCCTAGCCATGCGTCCTCACCACGGAAGAATATATTTGTTTGTGTCCATGAATGAGTATTGACATTTAATGAGAAGAAATATTTTTGGTGGCCATCCTTTTAGTGTGGACATTCTCCCGTGCTTGATGGCTTTAATGCGGGAGGGAGAGAGGATTATTGTTATGTATGTGCGTCTCGGCTTCATCTACAAATCATTATCTAATTCAGGCCAAAAAGAAAAGAGTTTGTCCAACATTATGCAGCCAAAGTCTTATTCAGGAATCAAGAGCTACTATTTCGATTCTCAAAACCTTTACAACAAAAACAAACAGAATGTGACTTTGTCTTCCGTTCCATCGCCATGCTATTGCTACCTAGCTATATAGTGGCCACGTCTGGAAAGGCTATTTTAGTTGTCGCTACGTGCCCTTGTATTTTTTCTTTTCTTCATATATATGAAAGCTTTTATACATGTTGAATATATAAGCCAACTTGTTAACTTAGAAGCTGCCTAATTTCTAATTAAGGATGTCATAAGACCTAAACTACTACCCAATACAAGCCCATAAAAAAATCTTTAAAATAAAGAGGGAAATAGTCTAAATGAGTTTGGTCAATGGAAGTACAGACATTTAGCCACAAAAAAATTATAGGGATATATATATATATATA